TGATAATTTAATTTTTAGCAAATTACTATAAAATTTATATATAATAATTGGATTTTTAGCAAATTTATTTGATTTTAGGGGTAGCAAAACCCCCAAAATTCATGCAGATCAGTTATAATCTATATTGAAGATGCCCGGGGTTCTACGGAACCGAAGATGATTTAATTTTTGACTTTACAAGAATTACGAACCAAACAAATCTGAGAAGAGGAATTGAAAGTCAAGAAAAATTGAATAATAATGAAAATAATGAAGACAATGATGGTGAAAACGATGATGGCAATGGTAGTGAAAACAATGGTGAAAACAATGGTGATGACAATGGTGAAAACAATGGAGAAAAGGAAGAAACTGAAAACATTAATGAAAATAAAAATGGTTTAGTTTTTGATAATTACTATAAAGAAGGCGAAGAATTATCGATCATTCAAGATTGGGACTAATGGAATTAAAACTCTCAGAAGAGTATAAAAAAAAAAATTAAGTTTGGTGGGTTCATGTATATAGTTTCTTATATGAGCATTTCAATTTTAATGTAAAATTGTAAGCAAAAAATTTTTTTTGCTTTTACAATTAGATATAATTGAATAAAATCAATTTTATATCTTGCTTTGCTTACGTTTTGTCCCTAAAAAAATATTTAATTTTTATTAATTTGTTGAATTTTTCTATTTAACGATTGTATTTTAACTTTACTAACATTCAAATATTCTAGTTTATTAAAGATCGGGGCACTTTTGTAAACATTTGAATTTATACATTGTTTTGCTAATTCAATTAATATCAAATTTATAACATCAAAAATTTTTTGTCCAGTCGAAATTTTATCCAGATAACTTCAAGACAATAAATATTAGTGGCTTATATAAAATTTTGATTCTTGATTCAGAAGTGATGTGACAATATTTCATAAATAAAAACTTTCAGGCAATTTTAAATTTAAAATGCATTACCATAATCTGAATTTGATAAAAATTTTAGTGGCATATGCAAATTGATTTAATTATTTGTATAAATAGCATATATAGTGCATATAGCATATATAGTACACATAGTATAAAATTTTTTGATGAAAATCTTTTTTGCATGAACGTTAGCATGTATATAGTGTTCGTAATTACCAGATAATTATTTAAAAAACTTAAGTTGTAAACATTTTAGCACTAGTGCATATATACTGTATTACTGAGACGTTAACACCTCTGCAAACAAACGTAGTAGTGGATAAGTAATTATGTATTACAAAGTACCTGGGTCCTATACAAAAAACCTACCTTCGATAATTATAAAGTACCCGAATACTATTCTTGACAAAAAAAAAAGTGCCATTCAAAGTACCCGGGTACTTTGAATGGGGGTATACAAAAAGGATGATACTTTGGTCAGTATACTACGGTACTTGTTTTTTATTGCAATCTTTTTTAGAAATTTATATACGTGTATTTCATTCTAAAATACCATTAAGATTTTTACAATCTTTTTCAGATTTATCTTTCAAGAAAAAAGACAAAGAGAAAGCTGAAAAATTAATTTTGTTAACTGCAATAAAAATGCTAGATGCACAATTATATTATCTTTTTTTGGACTTCAATACCTCATATAAATCTGATTCATTTCATTATTGTGATTTATCTAATTGTTTTGTCTTTTTTTCTAATAATTCAGATCCAATTAGAATTCTAGCTTGTGGTTATACCTATCATGAATCTTGCTATAGAAATAGTAGTTTAAAATGCTTGTATTGTCTTGCATTCTTACAAAACAGTATTGATAAACATGTTCAGTCTTTACTAGAGCATCTGAAAAATTTTTTTTAAAAAAAAATTAAAAACTAAAAAGCAAGAAAATACTATTCCTTGTAACAATAATGATGAATATAAATTGGTGAATTATAAAATATTTGCATTAGAGAAGGCAATATAGCATTTTAGAATACAATAAAATAAATATTATATTTTTATTTTTTTAAAATAAAGTTTTATTAAACTTTAATAAAAGTCGCTCAAGCATTATTTTTATATTTTTATATAATAAATGATGAACTTTTGGCAATTTTTAAAAATAAGTTACTATATTTAAACTTATTTTTCATTTATCTAAATTTAAAATTTTCAGCAAATATAACCCAAAACTGAAGAATTTTGGTAGGTGTTTTTTTATATTTAACGGATAATTAAAATTATAACTTCTTCTGTTACAACAAAAATTTTAATTAGGCAAAGCTAGTAAAACTACTTCAGTACTAGTGAAATAAAAAAATTCTATTGTTTTAGAAGTATAGTAAAAATTTTGAAAATAGAAAGCATATACTCAAGTATTTAATTCTATAAAGTTGTTATTGATTAATTAATTGATTTAGATGTCTTTATTTTAATTTAATATACTATTGCTATATAAATTAATCAATTGCAGATCGGTAGTTTATTGGTTAATTATTACAGACAATCACAGGTAGATTGACAAAAATTAGCCAATCATATGAATGTCTGTTTATAACAATGAAAGTTTGGGCGAAAAATATTAAAGAGTGTTAAAAGTCAGATACCTATCTTAATAAAATATAGAAAACTAAAAGATATATCAAATTTAGTACAAAAAACAAAAATTGATATAAAATGATCTTTAGTATGCACTTTTTAGAAAAAGCAATTAGGAAGACAGAGAAAATAAGAGTAATTACACATAAGGTACAAGAAATTAAGAAGAGAGAATTGTTGATGTTAGATTGTGTAAAATAGAAAATATGTAGAATAGTTGAAGATAGTTTACTTAAATATAGCTTAATAGAGATTTTAGATCAAAATAAAATTTTAGATAGTTTAGTTTTTTATACAGATGGCTCACTTGTGTTTTCAAAGAACAGATTCAAAATAGAAATGAGATGTGGATTAGTACAAATTACAGAAGAAGGCTACATTATATGTCAAATAGCATGTAAAACTGAAAAGTGGTTTTGATCAACAAAAGCAGAACTAGTAGCAATTCTGGTAGTGCTTCTAGTAACATCTAAAGAAAAAGAAGTTGAAATAAAAACAAATAGTAGTGCAGCTATTTTTGCAATCAAAAAAGGGTTCAAAGCAAATAAAACAAGACAATAGCTTAAAATAAAAAATGGTGATTTGATTGTAACAATAGTAAAAATAGCTAAAACAAAGCAACTAGCTTTCCATTTTACTAAAGTAAAGAGTTACTCAGGAGATTTTTACAATGACTTGGCAGATCTTAAAGCCAAGAAAATTACATCTTCTACAGAACTCTTAATTTCTACAGTATTAAACACAAAAGAATTCAAGTTAAGGAACAAGTGGAAAAACGAAGTTATAGAAAAGCCAATACACTTTTTTATCAAAATGGTAAATAAAGTAATAAATAGAGTAGAATGGACTTTTGTATATAATAGTCAAAACATAACACACCAAGAAAAAATAACCTTACAGTACTGGCCAATTTTCTATAAACTATTAAAAAGTGAAACCAAGCAGCAAAATCATATTTTTAGATCAAATTCAATGCAGCTTTTTTGAATTAAAATGTATAAACAATGTTTTATCAGTATTAGAAAAGCTTAACAGAAGAAAACCAGATATATACAAAATAGATAAATGTATTATATACAAGAAAAAGACAAAAAATATAGAACATTTAGTAAGCTGTGAAGTATTATTAAATTTGTGAGATATAAAAAAACAAGAAGTTGAGCTAACTCTAAAAAAAATAAAAGAAATACAAGATTAGTATGAAAAGAAAAAAAAGATCTTTATATATTTTAATTATTTAAAAATAATTAATACACAATGTTATTTATGACAAAAAAACTGGAATTTAGCTCACCCAATTACTTTTAGATATCTAAGTACTGCTAGTATCTATGTGTAACCTGCTAAAGATAAGTTCAGCCTCCCCGGTTTGGTTCTTTCTACTTTAAAGAGGCCTACCTGAATTACTAGTCTGGTTTACTAGCCTATTATGATCATCTTTTTTTCTAATCTTTTTCTCCTAGCTTTTTAGATAGAAAAATCTACCAACAAACAACAGAAAATTCAAGAAATTAAAAGAAAATAGAAAAAGAAGAAAAACTAAACTATAGAGATGTGGCAACTTAATGTAGTGGTCTAGTCATCACCCTCTCCAAGTGGCAGGTCTAGAGTTTGAATCTCATGGATGATGAATTTTGAAAATTAGGCTTGTGTTTGGTTAACAGCTATGCTTATCGGTTGGATCTAATCTGTAACTTCGGTTACACCATCTAGTAATAGGAGCAATAGCGCAATAAATCTGAGGAACCGGCATAACTGAAAACCCATTTGAGAAGTCCCAAGTTAGGAGTAGCAGTGATCTACGATGGCATCACAAGAGGGCTAAATTCGAACCGGGGCCTGAGATCGGAGAACCAAGCGACCAGGTCTTAATGGTAGAGGACACACCAGCCAAACTGCCAGGTTGTCACACCGAAAGAAAAGGACATATGCTCCGAAAGTATGTACCAAGGGGGGCATCCTTCAGGCACCTAAAGCCTGGGCAGACTGATCTTTCCGAGTTGCTAGCTGGAAGTAAGGGAGGGTCCGATAAAGAATTCGGGTAAGAAGACGGTCCAATTGTGAGTACCAGAGTTGTTGTGAATCTATACAAGGACAGAAGTAGGTAACAGTCTAATTAGAAAGGTTGTAGCTTGTCGGATTGGGTAGCGGCAGCACCCTTAGAGGTGGCTTGAGATACAAACTTAGTTCGGTGGCATAATTGGTACTACATTAGCGAAATATATTAACGTAATTTTATATAAGTTATTACAGCCCAAAATATTGCGCAATAATTATGGTCTGGACATAATATTGCGCAAAAAGTTGCGAAATATTGCGCAATAATTACGGTCTGGACATAATATTGCGCAAAAAGTTGCGAAATATTGCGCAATAAATAACATAAAATTACGAAATATATTACGCAAAATTACAAAACTTATAGCACAAAATTACGTAATGTTTTGCAGAATATTTTGAATTAGCTCGAAACAATTCGAATAGAGGTAAATGTATCAAAACAGAAAAATATTTATAAACTAAAAGATAGCTACTAATTAGAAAG